AGAGAGAGAGAGAGAGAGAGAGAGAGAGAGAGAAAGAACAAGGGAGAGATAGACAGACACAGAGACAGACATAGAGACAGACACAGAGACAGACACAGAGACAGACAGAGACTGAGGGACAGAAGAAAGATAGACAGAGTTAAGGGGGTGGGTGTCTTTGCGCGTATGTGTGTAGGTGTTTCAGGAAAAGAAGTTGGATGCCGTTGGGATGGAGTCGATACAGAGGTAATAGCACCAGACTTAAACGATTTACGATCTGGAAAAAAACCCAAAATAAAAATTAAACCTATCACAACAAGTGGACTACGTCATACTTCCAATAAAGCTCTACTAATTGTGTATACTGAATACAGTGTAGAAATTTATAGAAATATGGAGTAATGCTAATTCTTATGAAAACTCAATTCACTTTTTTTTTCAAGTTTCAGGAACCACAATAATATGAAGTTTTCACCAAATTTAAAAAATATATTAAATGGATTTATAGACAGTTATGATTAAACTGACAGTGAATGTGAAACAAAAACAAAAAAATGAAAACACGTCTCCCAAAGAGGCAAAGATGAAGAGAAGTTGAAGAGAAACCAGACCAAAGAGATAGCTTGTTCAGAAATACTCAGCACAGACTTCAGAGTGAAATGAAAACAGATACTCTAAAGTACCGAAAATGATGTAGTGAGTGAAGTGAGGAAAGTAGAAAGAATTCGAAAAAGAAAAGATTTAAGAAAGATAACAGAAACATTTTTTTTAAAAATTGGATATTAATGATGAATGTGAATCCAAACAGAAACATTTCAAGATAGGAGACTAATGATACTTTTGAGTGAAAAACAAACAAAACAGAAACATTTCAAGATAGGAGACTAATGATACTTTTGAGTGAAAAACAAACAAAACAAGAAACATTTCAAGACAGGATCGAAAGTGATGATAATTGTGAGTCAAAAACAAACATACACACACACACACACAAACAAACACACAAACAAACAAACCGCAATGATGAAACAGATTACTGGATAGACTTCCCTTACCTTGTGACCCGTTACCTCTGGTCGTTTTAAGAAAGACAGGAAATAGAAGCGCATGCATTTACCTTTACCTTATGCCGTCCCAAATTGCTCACTGTACAAGGCAGGATGGCGGTGCGGCCTTCTACTACGGTATAGTTCACGGCCGAGTTGTCGATGCTGGGCTGAACGCCTAGTACACCTGGGAGAGAAGAGAAAAGGGCGGGAAAGTTAAGTTTAGGTATGTTGGATTGTTTAAATTAGTTGTTTTTTTTGTTGTTGTTTTTTGTTTTAGTAGATGTTTTTCGGCGTGCACAACTACGTAAGGTCATATTACGAGCGCAAGAAGATAAGAGGTGTTACAAGAGAGTAACAAAAATAAAAAAGAAGAAGGGAGAGAAGGACGATAGGTGTTTGATAGGAAAGAAGAAACAAACCACACCAGAGCACCAGCCAACCACCCACCTTGGGTTGTTTAAATTAGTTGGGGGTTTTTTTTGTTTTGTAAGAGTTTTACTGCCGGAGCTTGCAAATGTGTAAGGTCATAATTATTATGAACACGTGAGTTTTGTTAAAAGTGAATATCGAAAACCTGATCTGAGAGAAGAGAGTTTTTTAAAATTATAATATAATATTTTGGCTTCAACATATTTATTACGATCATAATATAGGTGACAGACTTCAGCCATATTTGCCAGATCCAGCTCCGAATAAGAAGGATACAACGTCTCAAAAGAAAGACTTAGCAATTCGATCAACATTAAACCCACACGCAGGAATTGAATTTAACTCTACCGCGTGAAATGATGAAGTGTTGTCTAACCGCTACACCACAGTCTTAGTTTTAGTAGAGGTTTTACACAATAAGGTCATATAAGTGCCGAAGAATAGAGGTGTTACAAAAGAGTAGCAAACATAAAATAGAAGGTGGGGAGATAAGGACGATAGATGTTTGATAGGAAAGAAGAAGCAAACCACACCAGAGCACCTGCCAACCACCCACACACCACAGTCGTTGGTTGAACCAAGGTCAACAAAACTATCAAGGTCCCAGCTAAGCTAACATAAATCATATAATTCGGTGGTGTTGAATAGGAATATAACAATTGTAAGATCATGCGCATTCCGTGCTACCACATTATATAACAAAAGGGGAACAAGTCAGGATGTGTGACTGTAGGGTAGTATGCACATTTTATTGCACTGAAGGAAAGAGAGAGAGAG